TTCTACCGTCAACTTTCACTTTGTACTCATATTGTTTTCTCCTTTTTCCTCATCTGACCGTGTAGATATATCTAAAACCCCCAAAATCCTTGTGTCTTCTCTTGGAAACAAGGGAAAGAATGGAAAAAATACAAAGTGAACCCTCCATTAGTCTCTTAACCACTGTATGCAAATTCATGCTCTATATATTAGTGAAATGCTGCTCTGTCACCATATTATAAATAAGACAGACTAAGATTGGAGATGGATGAGCCAAGCAAAGAGGTATCTTGCCTGTCTATGACTATGATCACACCTTAGGATAATGTAAACAAATAAACATTAATTGTCTAAAACCAAAGTCACGATATTAAACAACTATTATCCGGCCTCTGCACCCATTAGGACGTACATCTTCAACCTAGGCGGTTTTGGACTCTTGATCAAGGGTTAAGGTACAGTGAAGTATGGTCTGATGTCATGTGATGTTAAACTTTGTCGACAGCTGTATTCTAGCTCCTCTGCCTTGGAGCTCCTCCTCCACCAAAGAAAGACAGAAACAAAGACGTTCTAATGTTCTCCTGAAGATTTTAGGTATCTTCACAAGTGTATAAAATGGTCTGAATGCCAGTTATATGGATTCATTCATTCCAAGAAAATATTTTGCAGGCAACATTGTGCTTTCCTAAAGTTGTCAACCTTTCTTTGTTTTTTGGATCTCTTGAAAGTTCTTTTTTCTTTTTCCTGATTTTTAATTTTATTGATTCTTCATCTTACAGGAAGAGAAGGATAAGAAAATCCATGAACTGTATGAAGAATTACAACAGGAACGAGAACGATCTGAAACTTTGAGAGAACAATTATGTACAATCATAAATGAACATGCTGAATTCATGAATATTAGAGTTGAGGACATTGTTAATAGCATGAGAAAAATTGAACTTGGCTATGTATAGTACTTCTGGTCAGTTGAGTACAAGGCAATATCCGAAGCATTGACTTGCTTCCACCATAATACCCAAGACCGGGTGCAGACAGTTTTTTCTTTTTTGCTTGATGGGTTCCCTAAAAGAGGGGGGATAAAAAGTTCTACTGGAGGTAGTACAAGGTCAACGCATCCAAATTTCATTATGAATTCAAACATGACTTTCTTGATTTTTTTTTTTTTTTTTTGAAATCTATCTAGAACTATCTGAAATTATCTATGCAATGCGAATTTTTACAATTAAAGACCTTTCAAAATGTTTGGAGAAAAGATACTCGAAAGGAAAAATTGTTTCACTCGCTAAATATCACTAACACCACTTTAAGAAGATGGATGTGATATTTCACACCACGTCTGATGTCATGGACGATTGTGTAGTTCAGATAGCGAGTGTCCTTTATGTATCAAAACTCTAATAGTGTAAGTTAAATTATGCCCAAAAAGTAATAAATAAATTTGACATTGGATCAAGAAAAGGGGAAAGTTTGACTTTGGAAAATTTCTGATATGGTAGAAAGCTTCTATGTAAATAGAGTAGATACATGAACTTGTTCTAAGAATAGGCCGACTGAGAAAATAAAAAAATGTTTCCCTTTTAGTGCAGTGAAGAGAGTACAAGGAATACAATGTTCTGAATATATCTAATTATTATATTGCGGCAAAATAAGATATACTGTGAATGAGTATATGATGTAAAGTTTGTGTAACTTAAAATATGCAAAAATCCTAATTGGGAGAGTGCAAAGACTAGAACAAGTCAACTTGATCATCGACAAAAGAAAATTTTGAAAGCTTCTTCCTCAAATTTCGAGCAACGTCTTCTTATCCATGTACTTTTTCTCTATTTACTTATTTTTTAATTTAATTACTCCTTCAATTTTCGATTTTGAGGGTTCTCCTTTCATTATTCTCCCGAAAGCTTTGAAGGTTGCGACATTATTTAACCTTTCAGTCACAAAATTATCCATTAAACTTAAATGTTGAAGCATATAAATTAAAGTCGTTTAAGTATTTCTACTCACTCTCTCTCCCCCTCCCTCTCTCTCTCTCAATTAAGGGTATTAGTTACTAACAGGAAAATGTTAATAAAGTGCGTATTTTTCATGAATATTATAGGCAAAAAGTATTAGAAGCAATCAATGTCGTAGCTAGACTGCTAGAATTTGCAAGAAGCACGTAACTTTTATAGAAAGTAGGAGTAACAAAAATTAAAAGAAGAAATAAACATGACATTCAAATTGGTTACAAGTAAAATTTTCTTTTGCATATTATTTAAAGTCGAAATGAATATTCATATATATATATTCATATAACCGACCGTAATCAATTCATTAATCAGCTTAAGATGGTTACTATTAGAACCATACTTTCTGTTGCAGCTTCAGAACATTGGCATATCCATCAAATGGATGTGTACAATGCTTTCCTACAGGGAGATTTGCCTGATGAAATCTATATGACTCTTCCTTAGGGATTTCAGAGTCAGGGGGAGAGTAGGCCAGCTTGCAGACTCTTGAAATCATTGTATGGTCTCAAACAAGCACCCAGACAATGGAATGCAAAGTTATCAAAGGCACTAATTAGTTTTGGCTTCATACAAAATCAACATGATCACTCTTTGTTTGTACAAGGGACTGGGAGCTGCATTGTGATTATATTAGTCTATGTGGATGATATGCCCATTACAGGACCTGATTTGAGGCTAGTAGAAGAAACCAAAGCAATACTTCAGAAGACTTTTAAGATGAAGGACCTAGGGGAGTTGAAATACTTCCTTGGGATAGAGTTTGCAAGATCATTACAAGGTATTCTAATGCATCAAAGAAAGTATACATTAGAACTTGTTTCTGAACTTGGCTTAGGTGCTGCAAAGCCTGCTACTACACCTATTGAAGTAAATGTGAAACTCACTACTCAAGAGTGTGATGAACACACAGGCACAATCAACACCTTGGATGATGCACTATTACCAGATGTAACTAGCTACCAAAGGCTACTAGGCATTTGAAGTACCTTGGATTAATATCTGACAGTAACAAGACCAGACATTGCATTTAGTGTTCAAACTCCCAGCTAGTTTATGCAAAAGCCTAAGAAATCTTATATGGAGGTAGCACTCAGGGTGGTCAAGTATGTTAAGAATCACCCTGGGCAAGGTGTGCTTCTGTCTAGTCAAAGAAGAAGTGTAATCTCAGCTTTCTGTGATGCTGATTGGGCAACATGCCCCTTGACTAGTAAGTCTGTGTCTGGGTTTTTCATAAAGTATGGGAATTTACTGATATCATGGAAGTCAAAGAAGCAAAGCACGATTTCTAGAAACTCTGCAGAATCAGAGTACATAAGTATTGCAACAACAGTGGTTGAACTAGTGTGGATATTTGGATTACTCAAGGACATTATATTGGAGTGGTGTTTGAATTGCCAGCTACTATCTTCACTGACAGTAAAGCAGCCATACAAGTAGTTGCCAACCCTGTCTTTCATGAAAGGACCAAACACATAGAGATTGATTGTCATTTCATAAGACAAAAAGTTAGCAGGGGCTAATCAAGACAGAGTATGTGGGAACCAAAGAACAGTTGGCAGATGTGCTAACTAAAGGACTGCCTAGAGCTCAACATGAGTACTTAGTGTCCAAGCTAGGTTTACTTAATATTTTCATACCACCTAACTTGAGGGGGATTGTAGAAACAGAAGGAGTAACATAATAAAGAGTGAGGGAAGTAGTTAGTTAGTTAGTGTACAGATATTGTATTCAATTATTAGGAATAGAGTAAGGACCACTAGTCTGTTAGAGAGTTGTTAATTAAGTATACATGTATAAATACCTTGTACTATTACATTGAAAATATACAGAAGATATTTCTCTCATTCTCTTCTTCTTCAACTCGTTCTCTCTGTTCATGCTTCTTCCATTACTAGGGTTGTTCATCTCAAGCATTCTCTGAGATCTAACACTTAGCACTTCCAATTGTCGTTAAAGTTTTTACACTTAACACTTAGCACTTCCGTAATCAATTCATTAATTTGGCACCGAACCATTTGTTAATATACATCAGAATTTTTATTGAAAACGAAATATTTAATTACACATATTTATGGTTTAAAATTTTGACCATACGTTCTTTAAAATCGAACCAAACTTTAGTGTGGTCTAGACTTCGGGACGAAACTCAAATGTCGAAACTACTCAACACGAGTCAAGTCCCAAGAACCATGCATTAATATATTCACTTTTAAGCCAACTTTGAGGGATAAAATTCCATTTATTTTTCTTTTCATTTTTTCCTTCTACCATTTGTAACTTTGAGATGTTACGACCCTTCTGGTTTCTATATTCAAAAAGGTCCAAAAAGTCAAATTTTAGTAACCAAATAATGTATCAGTATAATATTATTGTCTTGCTTCATACAATAGCCAAGACACAAGACTTCTAATTTCCTTTACTTACTGCCCATTGAATTGTCAAAAAAGAAAAAAACTAACTTATACTCCACAATCATATATACGAAACGAGTTAATTTCCCTCTAAATCACTTTATAGCCATTTCAAGCAAACCTCAAGTGCATGCAGAAGTGGTGAATTATAATTAAAGACAACATTATCAAAGTCTAATTAACCCTATTTTGACTTGAAGTTACTTAAATTAAACATGTAATTAACCCTAATATATTTTCAGAATAATCAGCTTAAGTCGGCCATTTTACAAGCAACGATATGCAATAGTTACTTATTAATTCATTTTTTTCATGAGTCAATCTGTTACGCTCTTGCTTCTTCATCACACTCCACCATCTCTTTCAAAAGTCAACTTCCCCATTCTTCCACCCTATAAGGTATATAAACACCTCTATCTCTCCCAATCTTATATCCTTCACAAAACAAAATAATCTCTATTCCTCCTTCTCCTCCTTCGAGTCGAGAACGAAAACGAAGATTTCACATACCATTATCATCGATTCTTTAAACCAAGATTTCGAGTAGCATTATTATCGATCATTTTCACGTTTGAAAAAGATGAAGTTTCTCAAATTAATGGTTGTTATTGCCATTTCAATGGCTCTCACTATCTCTTTGCTCACCATGCAACGTATGGACAAATCGATCAACCCCAAAAATTCAGGATTTTATGAGGATGGGAAACGACTTTCAGCAACTCCTGTGGAAGTACCTCAATTGAAGAGGAGAACAAGTCGTTTTCTTGCTGAGAAAGAAAGGAACCCTAGGGCAGCCGATCACTGCCATAAAGATAATGAAATCTGCAACGTGCTGGAAGGGCGAAACTCGACGTGCTGCAACAACAAGTGCATAAATTTAGGTTATGATGATCACCACTGTGGTGCGTGCAAGAGAAAATGCCGTTTCACAGAGACTTGTTGCAGAGGGGAATGCGTGAATTTGTCTTTTGACAAAAGGCATTGTGGATACTGCAATAGTAGGTGCATGCCCGGTGGATATTGTTTCTATGGCATGTGTGATTATGCTTAAGAAAGATGAATATGGTTTGTCAATTTATATAAATTCATTTTACCAATAAAAAACCACATTTAATTTTGTGGTTTAATTTACTTCTAAGATAGACGGGATTTATACTTATATGATATATCCTCGAGCATTTATCCAGTGTATACTGTAACACTTTTATACATGTTCTTCACTATGAGTGTATATTGATAAGTATTTTTGTTAATGTATTGGATGTGGTACTGTTTATAAAGACTTTCACAGGTGCAAATTAGTTGCGTGCTTGAGTTTTAACGCTTTATAATCAGGCTGCTAAAATAATATTCTTACTAATAATGTATAATGTAAAAACTTTAACGACAATTGGAAGTGCTAAGTGTTAGATCTCAGAGAATGCTTGAGATGAACAACCCTAGTAATGGAAGAAGCATGAACAGAGAGAACGAGTTGAAGAAGAAGAGAATGAGAGAAATATCTTCTGTATATCTTCAATGTAATAGTACAACAACTCTCTAACAGACTAGTGGTCCCTACTCTATTCCTAATAATTGAATACAATATCTGTACACTAACTAACTAACTACTTCCCTCACTCTTTATTATGTTACTCCTTCTGTTTCTACAATCCCCCTCAAGCTAGGTGGTATGAAAATATTAAGTAAACCTAGCTTGGACACTAAGTACTCATGTTGAGCTCTAGGCAGTCCTTTAGTTAGCACATCTGCCAACTGTTCTTTGGTTCCCACATACTCTGTCTTGATTAGCCCCTGCTAAATTTTTTGTCTTATGAAATGACAATCAATCTCTATATGTTTGGTCCTTTCATGAAAGACAGGGTTGGCAATTACTTGTATGGCTGCTTTACTGTCAATGAAGATAGTAGCTGGTAATTCAAACACCACTCCAATGTCCTTGAGTAATCCAAATATCCACACTAGTTCAACCACTGTTGTTGCAATACTTCTGTACTCTAATTCTGCAGAGTTTCTAGAAATCGTGCTTTGCTTCTTTGACTTCCATGATATAAGTAAATTCCCATACTTTATGAAAAACCCAAACACAGACTTACTAGTCAAGGGGCATGCTGCCCAATCAGCATCACAGAAAGCTGAGATTACACTTTTCTTTTGACTAGACAGAAGCACACCTTGCCCAGGGTGATTCTTAACATACTTGACCACCCTGAGTGCTACCTCCATATAAGATTTCTTAGGCTTTTGCATAAACTGGCTGAGAGTTTGAACACTAAATGCAATGTCTGGTCTTGTTATTGTCAGATATAGGAGTTTGCCTAGTAGCCTTTGGTAGCTAGTTACATCTGGTAATAGTGCATCATCCAAGGTGTTGATTGTGCTTGTGTGTTCATCACACTCTTGAGTAGTGAGTTTCACATTTACTTCAATAGGTGTAGTAGCAGGTTTTGCAGCACCGAAGCCAAGTTCAGATACAAGTTCTAATGTATACTTTCTTTGATGCATTAGAATACCTTGTAATGATCTAGCAAACTCTATCCCAAGGAAGTATTTCAACTCCCCTAGGTCCTTCATCTTAAAAGTATTCTGAAGTATTGCTTTGGTTTCTTCTACTAGCCTCAAATTAGGTCCTGTAATGGGCATATCATCCACATAGACTAATATAACCACAATGCAGCTCCCAGTCCCTTGTACAAACAAAGAGTGATCATGTTGACTTTGTATGAAGCCAAAACTAATCAGTGCCTTTGATAACTTTGCATTCCATTGTCTGGGTGCTTGTTTGAGACCATACAAGGATTTCAAGAGTCTGCAAGCTGGCCTACTCTCCCCCTGACTCTGAAATCCCTAAGGAAGAGTCATATAGATTTCATCAGGCAAATCTCCCTATAGGAAAGCATTGTACACATCCATTTGATGGATATGCCAATGTTCTGAAGCTGCAACAGAAAGTATGGTTCTAATAGTAACCATCTTAACAACTGGACTGAAGGTTTCTTGATAATCAATACCTTCCTGCTGGCTGAACCCCTTGGCCACCAACCTGGCATTAAACCTTTCAACCTCCCCTATAGCTTTATATTTCACTTTAAATATCTATTTGCAACCAATAGGAATCTTGCCTGGAGGAAGTGAGACAACTTACCAAGTGTGGTTAGCTTCCAAGGCTGCTATTTCTGATTTCATAGCCTCCACCCACCTTGGGTCTTTAACAGCCTCTTCATAAGAGGAGGGCTCCACAATTGTGGAGAAGGCTGCAATATACGACTGATAAGAAGGGGAAAGACTGTCATAGAGACATAGTTGGCCATGGAATATGGAGTAGGAGAGTTAGAAGGCTGAGTGACAAAATCCTTAAGCCATAGTGGATGATGTTTGGTTTTGAGAGATCTTCTTAGTGTGGGACAGGGCTCAAGAGCAGTAGACAAAGAGCTATATCTTTCTTCTGATAAAGTAGGTGACAAGTAATCACTAGATGATGAAGTAGAAGAATTGATGTATGGAGAGGGACAGATATCTGTGTACACCTCTTCACAACTAGGAGGTGAAGGAAGTGGCTTGAATATAGGGGGAGAGACATGCAGAGTGTCCTTGAATGGAAATACATCCTCTTTGAAGATAACATCTCTATTGACAAAGAAGTATTGTGTAGAATATCTAAGAGAATATAACCTTTTTGAGTATCTGAGAATCCCATGAGCACAACAGGCTTGGCCCTAGGCATAAGTTTATCTGTCTCCTACACTTGCTTAGCAAAACACAAATAGCCCAGAGTCCTGAGGTGTCCTAGCTGAGGCCTCCTATTGTACAACAACTCATAAGGTGAACACCCTTTCAACACTGATGATGGCAGTCTGTTGATCAAGAATGTTGCAGTGATAACACAATGACCCCAGAACTTGATTGGAATGTTAGCTTGAAACCTCAGAGCTCTAGTGATTTCTAGAAGATGCCTGTGCTTCCTCTCAGCTACCCCATTCTTCTGAGGAGTTTATGCACATGTGGTTTGATGAAGGATTCCAATCTTATTGAACACAGTTTTACACACTAAATTTAGAAACTCAGAGCCAATGTCAGATCTCACCATTTTTACTGTTTTATTGAACTGAGTATGAACAAAGGCAATGAACTGTGGCAATACAACACACACATCAGATTTCAGTTTCAGTAAGAAAACCCAAGTCATTCTAGTGAAGTCATAAGAAAGTATCTATAACCATCACAAGTTATAGTTCTATAAGGTCCCCAAACATCTATATGAATGAGATCAAATGCACTAGTACTCTTGATGCTACTGTAAGGAAATGGTATCCTGGTTAGTTTAGCACAAGGACAAACACAACAATTATTGATGGCATTAGTAATACTAGCTAGTTTACAGGAAATAGTTTCTTCAAAACAATGATAGACACATGACCAAGTCTCTATGCCATAAGACTATATCATTGGGACTGATTGAGAGGTCAACCTTTGACCTAACAGCTACCAAGGAAACAGTAGTCAATCTCTTATTTCCATGTTGTTGTAGGAAGTACAAACCATCTCTTTCTCTACCAATCTCCTTCATCCTGCCCTTGAAGAGATCTTGAAACACACAAAAATCAGGATAGAAAGAGGCAAAACACCTTAAGTCACTTGTCATTTTCGACACTGATAACAGATTATACTTGAACTGTGGTACATAGAATACTTCTTTTAAAGTGTTGTTGTTTGATATCTGACTATCTCCAACACGAGTTACTTGAGTGACATCTCCATTTGGCAAGAGAACTTTTCTAGAGATAGGGGGTTCAACTATAGAAGCTTTATCTAACAGATTAACATTGGACACCATGTGATTAGTTGTTTCTGTATCAATGATCCATTCTTGTGGACTATTGGAAGCTAGTAAAGCAATACTAGTACCTACTGCATTAGCTTGAGAAGTAGGTGAAGGACTGTTATTGTTTGCTGAAGTAGGGCTGACTGTATTGTTGTTCAAAATTTGCATAATTTGATCATATTGTTCCTTGGTGAAGGGAAAGGCACTACCTCCTCCATGTTGTGGTTGTTGTTCCATAATTGCAGTGTGATTGTTATTCTGTAAAGGTTGAGCAGATCTTGGCTACATAGTAGTCATCTGAAAACCAGAGTTTGGCTGTCCACAAGGCTGTATGTAGGAACTTAGTTCAGGTAGTGAATTATAACTGCCAGAAGTTGATCCATACTCAGCTACTGCATTGTAAACACCAACTCCCCCTTTCTTCTTAAACTTGTAGTCAACTGGATAACCAACTATTTTGTACCAATTCTCCTTACTATGACCTTTTAGTTTACAAAAGTCACAATATAGATTAAAGTTCTTTCTGTATTTTGGTCTATTATTAGGCTTAGAGCTGTATAGTATTATAGATTTATAGTGTCCACCAGTGACATTAGGTGCAGAGCCTAAGATACCTGCTGATCCTGTTACATTTCTCTGACTCTTCTCACTCATTAACATAACATAAGCTTGGTTCACAGTAGAAACATGTTTCATCATAAGTATTTGACTACGAGTTTGTGAGTATAAGTCATTTAAGCCCATAAGGAACTGATACAACTTTTGTTTGTGAAGATGTTCAATAAATTTCTTAGTTTTAGGGCAGTCATAACCAAGATGCGGGACTAGATCTTCAGTTTCATCCCATAGATCCTTGAGTTTAGAATAGTACATAGATATAGAGGAGATACCTTAAGTTAGGGTTGCAATTTCCTTGTATAGGTTGTAGCATCTAGTGTCATTCACTTTGTCAAAACGCTCTAGCAGATCCATCCGCACAGTGTATGCGCTGGTTGCATATGCAATTCCACTGATCAAAGTCGGTGCTACAACATTCGTCAACCATGACAGGACAATTGCATTACATCTTTACCACTGATACCAGTATTTTTCTCAAAATTTTATCTTCTTTCACCTTCCGTCAACCATTCCGAGCTTTTTTCGACCTAGAAGAGCAATTTTCATAGATCGATACCACAGTGAGAAGTTGTCTATACCTGTTAGTTGAAAAGAAATTGGAGATATTCCAC